TGTCCCACAACCTCACATCTTATGTAGTCCAATAATATTCTGTAATTTCTCTTGAATTAAATGCTGTTTTGATCACCACTGAGATTTATGTGTGTTTTATTTGTGTTATGTCACAAACTATCCATCTGTGTTTTCTGCTGCAGTTCCCTGAACAGACTGATGAGGATGGAAACGATGTTGTTTAAATTATCTCTAGGCCTGCTTCTTCTTCCTGTTCAGTTTCCCAAAACAGAACTTCAGGCATTTCACTGTCAGTGTCACAGAGAGCAGCACCGTCGCAGCTAGAAATGTTATCACATCCAGACAGAAGTACTGGAACCAGTGGAGGTCACGGACAGCAGCTTTCAGGTGCTTTGCCCCTTTGTGTTTCATCACATATTCTGTCCAGTACACTGAAAGATCGAGTGGGTCGACCGGACGGTCGTTGTGAAGAGCTGCCAGCTTCTGCACGTTCTCTTTGTACCTGAACGCACACACGGATGGAAAAGGCTGAAACTGCTGCAGGTGGTATACCAACAACACTGTCCATTAAAAATCACTCCTTAGCTCCTCACCTGGTGGTGTTGATGATCTCTGTCAGTCCCTGCAGGAGGCTTTCTGTGGTCAGAGAAGTAATGTCCAACACGAGTCCGGCTCCTCTTTGTGCGATCTTCAGGGCGTTGTCTGGCTGGTCTGCATTCAAGGGCACCATCAACATTGGAACGCCGTGACACAAACCCTCAAACACGCCGTGTGAGCCAGCGTGAGTGATGAAGGCTCGAACTCCTCGGTGTGCTAACAACAAAAACAAACGCGTGAAACGCTGCCCTTCAGTTTTGCTGTGGTCTGTTTCAGGAAGTGCTCCAACACACCAAGCAGGTCGTTCTGAGGCACCCATTTCATCATCTTCACGTTACTCGGGACATTCTCAGACACCCGGCCGGTGTACCTCCAGATCACCTGCAGTAGTGTGAAGAATTCAGGTTTTCATTCAGAATGTCAGGTCTTGTATAAGCATTCCTCTACCTTCTGTGGAATCTGTCCGAAGGCATCAAGAAAGACAGATGTGATGTCTTCAGGCAAATCTGACACCATGGAGCCCAGAGTGAAGACTATAAACCCATGTTGTCCAGAGACCCACTCCTCCAAATCCTGAACAGACGCATCCGAGCTCAGCATTTCTGACCATGTCTAATCGTTGTTCAGCTGCGCGGCATGCAGTCGGTGCAAATAAGAATAAAGAAACAAACGTTCAGATGAATGAAAAGTGCCTCACATCAGGAAGAGGGTTTCTCACGTTGCAGTTGATCCCACCCACCAGGACCATGTTGGGCATGAGGGGACGGGGCAACTCGAGTGTGAAGTCGATCCTGTTTCAACAGAACCAGAGGAGAGTTTCACTTTTCTACAGTTACGAGTCTAACACAGCTGGAACTGTTGAAAACAAGAATAAATCCAGGATTTTATCATTGGAGACCACACTGGGATCTTCTTTGTTGCACAAAGGTGCTGACCAGTTACACAAAAAATACATATTCTGTAAATGTACAAGTCCTGTACATAAAGATACTAGTACAAAAACATCCAGTGAGAAAATTAATAGACGCGCTGCTCTAAGTTAATGCACTTCAAAAAGTGAATGTAATTTTGTGTTTATGCATACTGCATATTAATTTCTGCCTTTCAAACCTGAGCACGTCTAAATGGGGTTTCTTTTGAGGACCTCAGGGACTTGAGCTATTAAAAGGTGAGGTTTTTGAAAAAAGCTCGACCCATCTTGGCTGATGAGAGTTATCCAACACTCTGCCACAAAGTTGAACAAACTGCTGCAAGAAATCTTTAACTCCATCGGCCATCGTTTCATTTGTTCTGTTTAGCATGCGAGTTTTATTTATTTATTTTTTGTCCTCGGTCACTGAGCGAAGAGGGGGAATAAATACCGTCAGTCCATCCTTGCTTGATAATGAGATGACACAGCTGCACGCCTTTACCTTTTGCTCATTTCTCTTCTTTTCTCTTTGTCCTAAACTGGACACCTGGTGGGTTTGGCCTGTTCTGGTCCATCTTCCATGTGTGTAACTGGCACTTGAGCAGAGTAGTAGGTTATCACCACCCAACATGAGTCAAACAACTTAGGCCTAAACTAATTCACCTTCCTCTGTGTGCAGATTCATTAACTAGGATTACTTTTTCAGCGCTTTCATACAAATAAGCTGTGAACTGTTGGATATATTCACAATATTACCATGACTTGTATTTTGTTTGGGAGCCATAAACGGTGTGATTTACTTAACGATTAGATGCATCCCTGACCTCAGCAGACGCTACACACCCTGCACCTGGTGGAGGGCCCCCACTCTCTGCAAGTGGGCGATAGGAAACCGATATGTAGGTTAGACAGGCGATATGAAATAATGCATGTTTATTTATTTATGGGGAGAGTGGGGCCGGGCACCCGTGCCACCCTTGATGAGTTGCCACCCTGGGCAGCTGCCCATATCTCCATGTCAGAAACCACCACTGAACGAGACAACCATTCACTCTCTCTCTCATCTAGAGACAATTTGGAGTTACCAATCAGTCTAACATGCATGTTTTTGGTCTGTGGGAGGAAACCAGAGTACCCAGGACACAAACACATAGCATGGAAAGAACATGCAAACTCCACCCAGAAAGGCCCACAGCCGAGATTCAATCCAGCGACCTTCTTGCTGAGAGGCAGCAGCTCTACCAACTGCGACACTGTAGAACCATAAAGCTGTAAAACTTTTATAACCAGCTTTCTCTCATCTTGGGTTGTAAATGTGAATAGATACCTGAGCAGCCAGATGTCAGAGTCTGACAGCACCTCCATGATGCCCACCTCCTCCTCCAGAAACTCAGAGGCTATGTGGTCAAAGTGCCAAAACATCAGCCGACAGAACAACGGCTCCAGGACAGCCACCTGTGTGTCAGAAGCAAAACATCACACCTGCTCACTGAGGCGCCTCGGCAGGTTTCAGGATGTGGACTGAAGCCTCAAGACCTCATCAGAATGAGCAGAGAAGTTGAACATGTGAATCTAGTTCCACAGAGCTCACATGGATCTGCTCACCAAAGTGTTGATGACTCTCTCCTTAAAGTTCATTCTGTCTGTGTATCCGGTAAAGGAGCGGGGTACGAATGAGGCCGGGGAGGGGCAGCCCGCAGCCTTCATGTCGGCTGAACACGGAGTCCCTCTCAGTAAATTCACCGTGGGGATACCTGGAAGTGATAACCAGTGACAGCTGAGGAATGTGCAGGTGCTCAAACACAGAGAACCCAGGAAAAGGGAAACTC